TACCCACCCACCGAACCACCCATCCACCCATCCATCCCACCCCCAACTACTTACCCTCCCACCGACTCTCCCATCCATCCATCCATCCCACCCCCAGCTACTTACCCACCCACCGACTCTCCCACCCATCTTTTCATCCCATCCACTGAACCCAACCAGCCATCCACCCTCTGACCCTCCCATCCCCCCAGCCACCCATCTACCAACTCATCCATCCACTGGCCCATCCTCCCGCTCTCCCATCTATCAACATTTATACAGCACTTTCTGCCATAGCAACCACACTCCGAGCTGCCTTCTCCCAGCGCATAGCCCTGCTGATGCAGCTCTGGCAGCCTGTCCCAAGCCCCTTGCCCAAGGCAAGCACCATCCTGGGCAGGAGGACAAGAGGAGACTCGGATACGGGCAGGCTGGGGGGTTGAGCAGATCTCTGCTGGCCTGGCCTGCGCCCCCACTGACCACGGTTGCCTTTCAGGTGATCCGTCCGTCCCAGCACACTGAGGGTCATGCTGTGCTGTACCGCTCCCTGCTGCCGGTCAGCACGGACTGGGTTGAATGGAAGGTGCCCAGGGAGCACGGCATCATCATCCCAGCCCTCAAGAGAGGCTACAAGTATGAGTTCAAGGTTCGGCCCTATGCCGGGAAGGTCCATGGCCCGGACAGCAACGTCAGGCACCTCTGGATCCCGGAGGAAGGTACAGCCCGAGGCGCCCCCAGTCCCTCCAGCTCCGGGCCCTGACTCAGCTTGCTCTGCAGAGCAAGGTCACACGGGTTCTAGAGGGGCTGCTGGCCTGGCAGGGAGTCCATGAGTGACATGCTGGGCAGGTTTGAGGGCTTGGCGCATGGCTGCCTGCAGGTCCTTCTCCATGGTGCTGCTCCTTACAAGGCCAATGCCTCGCCGGGAGAGCATGGGCAGGGGGTCCCGCTGGAGCACACGGGAACCTGCCCATTCAGCTGTTGTGCATCCCCTGGTGAATGGCGCGGTGGGTGCCCCAGTGTGCTCCGGCACCCCAAGGCTGCACCGTCCAGGGATCTTGTGCGGGGGCCGTGTGGGGAAGTGCCAAGGCGGGGTCTGTCACTGTCCTGCTAGAGGGGACAGGCAGGGACGAGGAAGAGGATGGGGAGGAGGAGCAGCACCATGCACAATCTCAAAGGATCCCATGGCACCAGGAGCCCAGGTCGGTACCTTCATCTGCAGTCACTCCCTCTCTGCATGGCCCCATGACCTGCCCTGCCTCTCTAGCGATACCTGCCCAAAGCCCAGATGGGCATCTTGGTGCTGGTGGGAGACCTCAGGGACCACAGCTCTGCTGCCCTCCACCCAGGGGTGAAAGTAGAAATAGGGACTTACCGGTATGGGGCTGGATTGGGGCCGGCTCTGACCCCCAGAAGGGGCGGGGCCTCGGGCAGAAGGTGCGGGGATGGGGGGGGGTCAGAGCCAACCCCGGCCCGCTCTGTACCGGTAAGTGCCCTCCCCCTCCCCCGCTGGGGTAGCAGCAGCAGCCGGGGGCTCCGACAGCAGTTTAAAGGGCCCGGGGCTCCAGCCGCTACTGGGAGCCCCAGGCCCTTTAAATTGCCGCCTGGGGAAGCCGGGCCCCCGGGTACGGCGCACTGGCTCTTGCCGGTACCCCGTACCGGGGCATACCGGCTTTCACCTCTGCCTCCGCCTCACACTCCCAGTGCTCGGAGTGCGGGGCCTGGCTCCAGGGACCACAGGCTCCGTGTCCGGAGAGCAGCCTGGCCCCGCGCTGCCCAAGGAGGTTTTCAGTGGCTCTCTCTTGTCCTCAGTGCCTAGCGCAGCTCCTCAGCATGTCACCATCACGACAGTGGAGGATGGGAATGGCACAGCGCTCATCAGCTGGGACCCCCCTCCCCACCACGCACACAACGGCATCATCCGGGGCTACAAGGTGAGGCCCAGCATGACGCTGACGTGCTCGGTGCTCACGGTGGGGACGGAGGTTAAAGAGCTAAATCGGCCTGGCTTGGCCAGGCTGCAGCTAGTAGGAACCTGGCGGGAGCTCTGGCTCATGGAGGGATCTCGCCCGAAGGTGGGGAGGTGACCGGGAGGGTGCCAGGAAGCAGGGCCGTGTGCCCTGGGAGTGCTGCCGGGCTGGGCTGCATCCTGCCAGAGTGACACGCCCTCTCAGTCACTTTCAGGAGCGTTCACAGGAGTCAGTGTTTGCTCGTGCAGGGATCTCGGGGGCTGCTCTGGTCGGGGCTGGAAGCAGCCCCCAGGGGCCGTGTGCCAGCTGGGCAGAGCTTCAATGAGTGATGCCCCTTACACAGGACCTGGGGGCGCCTGGCAGAGGAGCCGCACCAGCTGAGGCCCCTCAGTGCCTGTTCAGTCCTGCCTTTGGAGTAGCTTTTGCTTGGAGTTCCTGGGGCTGCTTGTTGGGCCTGGAGTGGTGGGGGTCACAGCTATCCATGGGGTCTGGGGCAGTACAGGTCACAGCTGTCCATGGGGCCCAGGGCAGTGAGGGTCACAGCTGTCTGTGGGACTTGGGGTGGTGGTATCAGTGTCTGGGGGTATGACAGGTCTGGGTTTGTCACAGCCGTGCTAGCTCTGTCTGGGTGTGTTACAGGTCTGGTACCTGGGCAATGAAACTCACCATCGCTCTAACAGGACCGTGGATGGAGGGACACACAGTCTGGAAACAGTCTTGCTGCCGGCTGGGGTTAAATACTGTATCCAGGTGGCAGCCTTCAATGGAGCTGGGCTCGGGGTGCCCAGCAATGCCACATGCAGCAGCGTAGGTCAGAAATGTTTTGTTCGTAGAGCTCTTTGTCCAGCAGGAAACCCCCACATCCCCGTGATGGGCCCAGAGGGAGCCGGTGAGCCCTGTGATCAGAGAGCCGGCTGGGGATGGTGGGACAGACAGATCGTTCGCTCACTTGCCCTCCCTTTGACGTTCTGGCTCCCCACGCTGGCACACTGGTCTGCTGGCTGTGCTCAATTGCTTCCCTTAGAAACCCTGCTTCAGTCACCTGGACCCTTGGCACCATTGCCAGCTGGCCAGACTGGAGTTTTAGGGAAGTCTGCAGGGACCCTCTGGGGGGGGCAGCACGAAGGTCATGCTCCTTGGTCTGTGTCCCTTCTCTGACGCCTGCCCAGTGGACCATTGGCTCAGGCAGCACTTGGGAGGGATATTTTTCTTCTCTGCATTTGACTCATTTCACGTGAGCCCCCAGACAGTGCTGGCTTTCCGCGGGGGCTTGGCTGGCACCTGGGACTAGGGAACGTTGGCTGATGGTTCGAGCCGGGAGCTGGCTGTCTGGAATCCGGTTCGGTTCCCGGCTCTGCCTGCCTCTCGTTGGGTCACCTTGTCCATGGCCCATCCCGCTCCCTTTCTGCCAGGTGTGCCGCTCACTGGGCTCCAGCCCACAGGCCCTGGGGGTGTGGCAGGAGTGGCGGGACCTGCCCAGCCCCGCAGGCTGGTTCCCTCTACTAGCTGGGCCTGTCTCTCCTGCCCCCAGCATTATCCCAGCTCTCAGCCTGGCTCCCCAGCGACGCCCGCACAGAGGGTGGACCCCAGCCCTGGAGCTGTGCAGGCAGGAGGCTCTTGTGCCCCTCCAAGCAGCAGCCCAGGTGTTGCTGAGGGGAGCAGGCTCCGTGGTAACAAAGAGGGACTGGAGCCTGACCCGCTCTCCTGCTGCAGCTGGGCTTTTGCTGTTAACCTTTCGGTGTCCTGTGGGCAGGCGGGTGAGCAGGTCAGCTATACCCAAGGCACGGCTCTGCGTTGAACGAGCTCTCTGCTGCGGCCCCTCAGCCTGTCACCTCCACCTCTGATCCACCCCTTCCTTCCCAGAGCCTTTGGTGGGACAGACGGCCAGGACCCCGGCGGTGCTCTCCGTCAGCCACATCCTGGCAGTGATTCGCCAGCCTGTCTTCATCGCTAGTGTGGGCTCGCTGCTCTGGCTCGTGCTGATGGTGCTGGCTGTCTACCTGTGCCAGCACCACGCCAGGCATTACAGCCGAGAACAGCAGCATGCCCTGGGCAAAGGTGAGCGCGACTCTGGGGCTATGGAACTCGGAGCCCAGCTGTCTTCCAGCAGTCACTAGCATGGGGGTGGGGGGCAGCAGGGGCCCTGGAACGACACATTATGCCTGGGCTCAGTGAGTTTGAGAAACCCCAGCCCTTAGGGGCTCGGGCCAGTCCAGCTAAAGCAGGGCTCCCCACCCTCACCCCCGCTCACTGGGCCCTGCAGCCCCCACACAGCCCTGGACATTACACTGGGGCTTGATCTTAGACGGCTCTGATTTCTGCCCAAGCGCTACCCTGGGAGATGTCCCCAGAAAGGGGCCTGTCAGTGCAGGAGATCAGCAGGGCCCCTGCCCTGGGTGGTCTGGGGTGAACCCCAGGGGTTCCCTATCTCAGTGCTGTGGGAGCCCAGGAGTTATCCAGAGACTGGTGCTGGGTCCGGTGAGGAGCTGGCCGAGTCCCCAGCATGGCGAGACCGGGTTGCAATCAGCCGTGGGGACGAGATGAATCTCAGGCAGGGGAAGACAGGGGCCTGCTGAGAAAGATGGCCAAGAGGGGCAGCAAACGGGCGCCATTCAGCTCAGGACAGTCTGCTGGAAGGGGAGCACCCTGGTCATTGCAAGGAGCCATCGCTGTGCAACTAACAACCTCCCTGCCTCTCTCCCAGGTCTGTGCCGATACTCCAGTGAAGACACCATCGTCAAGCACGCGTGAGTGATGGCTCGGCCCTACCACGGGCAGTAACCTGCCTGGAGAAAATGGTTTTGATCCCCACGGCATGGGCTGGCCTGTATCCCCACTCAGCAAGCCCGAGGGCAGCCCACTGACAGGGAAGATGCCTGCTTTATTCCTGACCTGCAGCCCCCTGCTATCCCAGCCCTGGACTCCCCCTCACAGCTCTGCCGGTGCCCCTCAATCCCGACCCGCAGACCTGGGCTCCCCCTCACATGCAGCTCTGCCAGAGCCCCTCAATCCCGACCCCCAGCCCCTGCTGTCCCAGCCCTGGGCTCCCCTCCCCAACGCAGCTCTGCCGGTGCCCCTCAATCCCGACCCGCAGCCCCTGCTATCCCAGACCTGGGCTCCCCTCCCCAACGCAGCTCTGCCGGTGCCCCTCAATCCCGACCCGCAGCCCCCTGCTATCCCAGCCCTGGGCTCCCCCCACAGCTCTGCCGGTGCCCCTCAATCCCGACCCACAGCCCCTGCTATCCCAGCCCTGGGCTCCCCCCACAGCTCTGCCGGTGCCCCTCAATCCCGACCCCCAACCCCCTGCTGTCCCAGCCCTGGGCCCCACATGCAGCCCCTCAATCGTAACCTGCATCCCCTTTCTATCCCAGCCCCAGGCCCCACATATGACCCTCTGTAAGACACCAAACAGCTTACAGTTTGCAGCAGTCCCTGCCAGCCCTACCTGTGCCCTGTGATGGTCCTGCAGGCACAAGGGGGTGAGCGCAGGCTGGAGGGGGAGCAGAGCCGGCTGGTCTCTGCTGGGGGGCATGTGATGGCTCTGTGATGAGAGGCTGCCAAGCTAACACGCCTGTGGCGTCCTGGTGCAGAGAGAGGCAGGTGCCCAGGGTGCTGTGAGTTACGCAGCGCTGGGGCTTTTCCCTACAACAGATGACCAGATCCCCCGCTCGTGTGGGTGCTGCGCAGCACCTGCCAGCAGGAGGGAGCCCGAACCTGCCCGCTGCCCACCCTGACACACCCCTGCCGGGGGAGGCAGACCGAACCTGCTAGGGCTCCCCAGGCTGGGAACGCAGAGGATCTTCCCACTCCCTCTGCACTGCCTGAGAGCATAAAGGAGCGGCGCTGGCCCGAGCCTGGCCCAGTAACAGCACAGTGCTCCCCTCCCATGGCCAGGGCTGGAGCGGGGCACTAGCCCTGTGCTAGCCCCTTCCACACGGACACAGGAGGAAGGTGCCACAGACTCACCCAGCCCGATGTGCCGGGGCTCTCCAGAGCAGAGCAAAGTTCCCACCTGGTGCCTTCACCTGTACGTCTCCTCCCCTCCCCAACCCCAGGATGGACGTGAGTGACTCCCCGTGGCTGGCTGACAGATGGAAAGCCACCTCCTGCTCCAAGACCTTCAGCAGCAGCAACAGCAGCAGGTCGAGCAGCCAGCTCCTGTGGGCAGAGACCAAAGACAGCCTGGACTTCCACCACTCCAGTGAGTCCCTGCCACGCCGCGCCGCGCTGCGCCGCGCCGCGCCGCTCTGTTCCTGGCCATTCCCTGCCCGGACAGAGGCTCCCGCGCTGACCAGCCCACACCTCTCGCTGCACCTTCAGGGCAAAGTCAGGACCTTCCGCAGAGAAGATGACGCTCCATGTGCGGGATCCCGGGAGCCCAGCCGCAGGCCGGCTGAGCTCCATGTGTGGGATCCCGGGAGCCCGGCCGCAGGCCGGCTGAGCTCCATGTGTGGGATCCCGGGAGCCCAGCCGCAGGCCGGCTGAGCTCCATGTGTGGGATCCCAGGAGCCCGGCCGCGGGCTGGCTGAGCTCCGCGTGCGGGATCCCAGGAGCTGCCTTTTCTGTTCTTCCCATGGCATCAGGGAAGGAGGCAAAACGGGTTCTCTGACTAGGGAGAGGGTGATTTTCTGCTGGGTTTTGCTGTGAGAAATTCAGGGCTGGTCTCCCTGATGTTCCCCCGAAGGCTCCCCGGAGGACTGGGGAGCTAGCAGTGGGGATGGGGCCTGGTTCATTGCGGGGGAGGCGATGGAATGTCTGGGGTTCCTGACTGGGGCCTTTCAGCTTGCACTTGAATGCCACGGGTTGGGGGATGGGGAGGGTGAGAGCTCCAGATGGGGGTGTGGGCTGTGGGGTGGGGCCAGAAATGAGAGGTTCAGGGTGTGTGTGGGGGCTCTGGGCTGGGGCAGGGGGTTGGGGTGTGTGGTGGGGTGCGGGCTCCAGGAAGGAGTTTGGGTGTGGGAGGGGGCTCAGGGCTGGGGGTTGAGGTGTGGGAGGGAGTGAAGGTTCTGGCTGGGGGTGTGGGCTGTGGGGTGGGGCCAGAAATGAGAGGC